GAATATAAAATAGATATTACTAAGCATTAATATAATTTTCTAGTTACATAAACAAATATGAGTAACTAAACATAAAAATGTTATCTTTATGTAGGAAAAATATTTTAGTTAACTAACAAATTAAATAATATAAGTTTAAGAGTTAGGAGTTTCAAAACATTAATAATTTTATTAATCAATCAAGTAACACATGTTGAAATTTTTACAATCATTATTAAAAAGCATTTGAAATATTAGATTTTAAATGAATTTTGGTTGAAGTGTTTTGATCTCTATTATATATATATATATATATATATATATAGATATATATCTATATATATATATATATATTGAGAGAGAGAGAGAGAGAGATGGAAAGTATAACATATGTATGAGTTTTAATTAATTATCTTTTTGAAACGGTACAATTACAAAAAAAAACATATTTAAAATATTTAATTAAATATTTTCGACATCACCCTATATAACATATGATCAATATATTAACGATTAAACAACAATATACAACGAGTGTATTACAATAATCCAAAAACGAAGAAAATATAAAAACGAATTAGTATAACAAACTTACAAATTAAAAGCTCTAATATAATAGCATATCTCCAAAAGTGGTCATAAGACCTCAACCCAACACATAAACCTTTAAGTTTGTTATCTTTTTGAAATTTGTATATGATTTGTATGCAAGTCTTCCCAAAGGATTGACCTTTTTATAGTAAACTTTTCACTAAATGCTAATTAAACATAATATAAGTTATAAAACTTTTGAGTAGTAAATCATAATTAAGAAAACTTTTGAGTTGCATTAGTTAAAAAAGGGGGTTTTAAATGAATGTGGTTTGAGGAAGTTAAAAAATAGGGTTTCAAATGCATGAGATTCAAGAATAAATGCTAGCTTTGTAAGTATGTATGATAGTATGATATAGATAGATGGAAAAAAAGATATATGAGAGTTATTTCCTGAATCCGAAATAGAGTACCGGTGTCTGTAAGATAAAACCAGTAGATGAATTAAGAAAGAGGGGCTATGACCGGTTAAAGTGAATGTTCCTTAACTATACTTTCAATCACACTTTCAATCATAGTTGCTATACAATCTCATAAATAATAGGTTAATGAGGCATTTGGTCATGGAGTTATTTTATATGATCTAAAACAACTATATGGTTTTGTAAGAAAAAAAAATAATAATTATGGAATCCAAGAAATTTTAAGTCATAAAAGTAGCATTTTCGATAAGGTTTTGTTATAGTTTTTGTTCCTGATTTTAATAATCATTAATTATATCAGTTAAACCTATATACAATTATAATTTTTGACCTCTATGTTGTATTTTTATTATTGAGATATTGATTAAACAAGTCTTTACCAATGAGGTAATTAACAAAAATAATCATTTTTTTCATTTTTTTTTCTTTTTTAAACACATGCATTCCAAAGAACATATATATGTTCCGGGCTCACAAACTGATGTAATATAAAGCAAGTCCGAAACCTCGTATGTTAGCAATAAATATATTCTAAATTGTTATCATATATTCTATCATATCTATCCTTGACAAGAATGAGACTTTTTCTATAATATTATGACAAACTATAAAATTTGATGAGTAAATGTAAAAATATAAACTTAGTGATCTGCTTAAATTTTTGTAAAACTTAATTTATCGAACCAGGACAAATGCAGTTTACTTGAACTTGTTAACATTAACAGAGACAGAAAAAGGGATAAAATTTGTTAATTTTGGTTTGGACTGAATGTGTAAAAATTATTAGTGTAGTAGCTAAATAGAAATGTTAAGGTATAGTTTAGGGACCATTTTTGCATTTATGTTAAAAATGGGGTTTTGTATACTCTTCGGAGCTCTTCATCCTAACATAACCAAAAGGCAATCAAAAACCCTAATAAACCTTATACACCCACACAAATCACAACGCCTCCATTGCACCATTGCTGCTTCTGTCGGTCGTTTCGCCGCCGTTAGCCCCCTGTGAAGCCACCGGCCGGAGACAAGTCGCACCCCACAGCAACACCGGTTCGACCCCACGGCTAAGGTTCGTTTTTGTTTAATTTTTCCTGCTGTCGATTTTTTCCTAGCTTTAATTCTTTTCACGGGTTTCTGATAGATTATTTTGTTGGTTGTATCAATTGATAAACATTTGTAACGAAATTAGTTTACATTTTTACTAAATCGTAAATCCTATCCTGTTGAAGGAATTAGTTTCTGCGATAAATCAAATCGATGTCGGGAAGAGAAGATAGCGACTCCGATGCTCCGGAGGAATTCACCGCCGAACAGGTAGCTCTTCGTTTCATCGTTAAATCAGCCAAAAAAAAAAAACACTTTTAGTTTGTCACTTCTGAATCAAAATGCCTAATTTGATTCACAGGCGATACAACAGGACGAAGAGATAAGATCGATTCAGAAAGAAAACAAAGCCAGGTATGTCCATTGATTCATTCATATCAATAGTTAAAAAAACTTGGATAAATTTCTAGTTTCTTTTCATGAAAGAAGTTGTTTGATTGATTCAGGATTTTGCGTGAAGTAAAAGAACGTCGTAGAAAATGGGCAGAAAAGTTAACACCTCGTGTGAAGAACAAGAACAGCATCCAAGAAGATACAGAGGAAATTGAACCACAAGAGAATAAAGGGATGCTCCCAGATGACATTGTCAAATTGCTTGCAGCTAATGAGAAGTATTATTCGTTTCACTCTTCACCCTCTTCCAATTTCATCTTCATCTAATTTCTTACATTTTTACACAAATTTGTCATATTTTCCCCTACAGGAAGGTTTTTTCAGACTCAGAGGAAGAGAAATCCGAGAAAAAACCAAGAAAGAAGAAATCCAAACATTCAGGGTAACTTCAATTTTTTCCTTTTGCAGTTTTAATTAATTACTCTTTGGATATACAAATAAAGAATAACTATCTTTTATCATTTTAATGGGGAATACAGGATAGAGCCAGTAATTTTGAAGGAAATTCCACCTCCTCCATGCTTACAAAAATCATTGGAGTTTTTAAAGAAAAGGAAAATGCAAGTTTCAAGATCATCTGCAGTTTTGGATAACTCTCATCGAGCATTACGCCTTATTTCTGCATCTGGTGTTCTAAATAAGAAATGACAAAAAGTTATTATCCAAAATCTAAGCTTATAATATTTCTGAGTATCATCCAATGGTGGAAATGTAATGTTATCTTTTGATATGAGTGATAAAATTTTGTTTTCATTTCTCCTCCTCTTGTAACAATACACATACTTTATTAAATCTTTTAGGTTTCTATTTGGTTTGGGGTTTTGTTTAAACCCAAATCGATTAATTATTGTTGATCTTATATATATGTAGCGATTTCAATAGAAATTATTTGTATTGTTATTACATATTTATATATACTTCAAGTTTGCTCATATCATTAAAAAATAAGAATAAAGTAATTAGTATATATGCTAAAATAATTTAATATCACTAAAGTTCATCGATTTGTTTATGTCAGTTCAAGGGTTACTTACTGTGAATTCACGTTTAATTTTTTACAAAACTTTTTTGTGGTAATTTTTTTAAGGTCTGAAAAATATGGATTCATAGATATATGCTACATCAAAATACGACCATTCTGATTAATATTTTAAATCATACGCTAAGTATTTCTAATGTTAAAATGTACTTATACAATAAAAGTAAATAATATAATAATAGTTTTATTTTGTAAGATGATAACTTTAACGAATGACATTGTAATACAACTTTCTAAAATTGGAATACATGTTGCAAGTATGGGCGATTTCACTCACATTGTAACTTTTTTTGCATAACCGATCAAGATGGTCTTACCACTATTCTCTTATTATTTTCATCAAATAATAGGTTTAATTTTTATACTAAAGTAAATTAGTTTCTCAATGTATGATCATGCTGTGGGCATTTCAAATTGTTTGATCACTTTTTCAGTTAAAAGCTTCACATTTTATACATTTATTTACTTGTTAGAATCAACATATAAATTAAAGAGAAACTTATAAAATAGCCAAATTTCTTAATGGTTTAATTAAAAATTAGGGTTTATCCAAAAATAGCTAATGACAGATGAGGCCTACTCGGCTTTGGTATCATTAAATCAGTTGCAGTTTCGTTGTTCATTAGCCCATTATATTTGCACCAAAAAAAAATTCCAACTAATTTTTCAAGTATACGAAATCTCTCTTTATCATGGTTGAAATGAAATTTTCTAAGTAATCTTATATATAGTTTTTTTATCATATATGTTGAAATTTAGTAGTAACGTGAATGAATTTACTCGGAAATCTGAAAAATTGAAGAAAGAAACCACATATGAGGCCATCCATATGCGGTTTCGTTCTTCAATTTTTTTTTTTTTTCAGGTTTTTTTTTTTTTTTTTCGAGTTTTTGCGGTTTCGTTTTTATGTGGTATCCCTTGAATATCTGGTAGTAATACGAAAAATAAAAAGAACAAAATTGCACATGAGACCATGCCATCTGTTGTTTCGTTCTTTATTTTTCAGATTTGTTCAAACATAAAAAAGACAAAATCATAGGTCAAACAAGAGGAAAATGCAATGGTTATATGACACCTGCGATTTCGTGTCTTCAAAAATGGAAAATAAATTTTTTTTTATAGATAACATGAAACAACATCTCATTTTACGAAACGACAACCTATTTATCGAAACCGAAAACGTATATGCTTCATCTTAACTATTTTTAGATAAACCTTAGTTTTGATTATTTTTTTTAAAGTCATTAAAAAAATAGTTATTTTAGTGAATTTCCCTAAATTAAATGCAAGTAATATCATGTTGAATCTGACCTTTCTATAGATAATTGCAAGTACTAAACATATTTATAAAATTACAATTACATGTCACATTTTATATGACCTTTTTCTGATCACTTTAAACATGGTTGGAAAAAAAAAACCATGAAATCGATCTTGTGCAACTCAACAAATGCAACACAAATCAACTCTAATCGTCATTTTTTCCGTTGACTACCCCGGCGTTGTAAAAAGCTTAAGAAGGTGTTCGCCGTCTCCTTCCTACTCCGCCGTGACCCATCAATCCGTTGTGGCGACGGCGGTGGCAACTGCTGGTTATTTCTCGGCGTTATATGTGTAGACATCCTCCATATCTTCACAGACTTATCCAAACTCCCACTATACAATATACACCGCCCATTTCCACCACCACGGCGTTCCTCCTCCACCTCCACCGCCAAACACTTCACCGGCCCTGTATGTCCATTCAAAACATACAAACACTTATGCATTCCTCCGTCGTCTCTCAGCCATACGCATACGTTTTTATCCGCCGAACCACTAAACACCATGTTTTCCGACGACGCTAGACATAGAACAGCAAGCTTATGACCTCTTAAAAGTCCGCCGTGGATTAGTTTCTCTTGCTCCCAGAAATGTACAATTCCGTCTGAACAACCGGCGTAAAGCACCATCCCCGTCGGATTAACAGCTAAAGAAGTCACCGCGAATTCTTGCTGTAATAAAGTGTGAGAAAAGTAATGTTTTGGTCGTTTCTCTTGCGTCTGATCCTTCCGCCATACTTTTAATGTCCCATCCGCCGAGCCGGAAAACACAAAACCATTAAATCCGGCGACGACACTGTTGATGACATCTTCATGAGCTGAAATTGATTCCAAACATTCGAAATCGGAGACTCTCCAGACCTTCATTGTTTTATCCCATGATCCTGAGTACAGAAGCGTTTGATCTTCGTTTAAGCTAAGACATGAAATTGCATCTAAGTGTTTGATCTGATTTCTCCAAATATCTGTATAATTCATGGGGATTATCGAGTTCTTGATCACTGATCCAAAACTGGGTAGTGTCCCGATCTTTTTATGAACTTTAGGATCCCTCGTCGACGCTTTCCAAACCCTGATTTTTCCGTCTTGGTGGCCGGTGAATATTTTCTCGCCGGAGATCACAATCGCTTTGACTAATCCGCTTTGAGATTTGAAGCCGGAATATTCCTTCAGGCTCTTCCAAACGCGAATGTTCTTGCTGGAAGATCCGGTGTATAATAAATCTCCTGATGCTGCTAACGAATATATATGTCCTTCTTCACGAACAAGAGAAGTCATTAATCCGACGTAATCACCGGAGTTATCTGTGGAAGAAGGATCCCGTTGCTCTGTGTACGACGACCATGGTGATTTTGATAACGGTGATGTCTGGGCGGAGCTTGGGAGGCGATAAAATGGAGCTGGAGCGTAAGAATCGCATTGAGAACCATCAACCGTGGAATCGGTGTCGGACGACGGAGCCGGTGGTGGTGGATCTGCGTTGTCCGGCGCAGATGGTTCGCCGACGGCATCATAAAAATCATCGTCATCATCACCATTTCTCTTCAGTGATTTCCGAGAATTCCTCCAATTAATCTGCATGAATCTTCGCAATGGATTCTTCATCATATTTCTATTTAGGATTCTTATTATTATTTTTTGTTTTGTTTCTTCCTCGCGTACAAGATTAATTAATCAAATTGTGAAGAATTGTTATGGATTCTTGCATTAGAGAGGAAGAATATTGAGATTTTGAAGAAACCTAATTTCACAAGGGAATATATGAAAATCAAAAGGTTGAAGACGATGAAGAAAGTTGGATTTTCTTGAATAAAGTGGAATATGCATGCATACATACATGCATGCATATGTTTTATTAAAAATAATTTTTTTTTTCAAGAATTTAACATGTTATATATTGGGTTTGTTCCCTTTCCTTTTTCAATAAGTTGTATTAATATTTTACATGTTTACCAATCAATAATTAGTTGATTCGTTTAATTTTTAATATGTTTTTCATATACTTTGAAGAATACTTATCATAACACCTTAATTTTGATAGGAACCATGAATATTTTACAAAATAACATCTATCAATACCAAAATGTAAAACCACTACAACTAATCTAAACTATCAATAAATCAAATTTACCTTTGGTATTAGAATTTCGGATAAATCAAGTATTATATTTGATGCATGATTGATTAAACAATCAATAAAGAAGATGGGATTGAACTCTAAGACTTGGAATTGGATTAGAAACTCAATCATTAATCGGTTACAAAATTGAAATTAGGAATACAATTTAACATAATGTAAAAATTGTAGAAACTTATATGTACATATAGTCCTATACTTACAACATAGATATTACATGCTAACTCCCCCCTCCACTCTCTAAAAAAAGAAAGTGACTAAGTAGGTGTGTTTTGGTGATACGAAGAAGATGAATCGTTGGTGATACGAAGGAGATGAATCGTCTTGAGTACCACATGGTTTTACATGTCGACGAACAAAACAACAATTAATCACTTGATATTTGATGTGTTCATAAAAGAAGTTGTTGCGAGTAACTTGTATAGCTCTACAACGTGTAAACACTCATTATTTATTCTCATATTTGTAACTTGTAAAAAAAAGGTTTTTAATTTGTGTTTTATAACGACATATAAAGATTCATATGTCCCCAATGAGCTATGATTGTTTTGATAAATCCCAAAAACCACACCATGTTGGGGAGAATATTAGTAGGGTGATGGTGGAGAATTGAATTCCTTATGGATCGTGTAAGTTCACTTTTCGAACTGATATTTCCACCCTATGTCTGGATTACAGGAATTCAGTCTATGATAATTCAAATGAAATTTGTGTATCTAGGCACATAAACACAAGCCAAATCACCAGAAAATTTTGAGTTCGTTCAAGAAGAAAAATAGTTAAGGGTTCTATATATGGCTCAAAAAAGGAGCCGTATATAAGCATAACATATTAGGGTTTAATCTTCTAATTTAGTTAGGGAAATCTTGAAATTAATGTCTTAATAAATGGTTTTCAAAACTGACAAGATTTGTGAATCTTACCATAATCAACCACTACAATTCTGAGTTCGTTCAGTGGGACCATCGTCAGGGGCTCTGTCCCTTAGACCTCGCTAAGGGTGTTGCTCCTAGGACTAGGGATGAGATTTAGAACCGGAAAACCGGACCGGAACCGGAATCAGACTGGAACCGGAACCGTTAGAACCGGAATATGTAAAACCGGTCTGGGTCCCGGGTTTAAAGAATGACTCTATCCGGGTTCCGGGTAATCCGGGTTTCGGGTCCTTCGGGTCCGGGTAAACCGGGTTTAAGAACCGGAACCGTGTTAGGAACCGGAACCGGTTTTAGGGGCCGGAACCGGTTTCTATAAAAAGTTTAAAACATGCATATCTCATTCGTTTAAAGTCGGATTGACATGAGGTTTTTTCCATAATATAGTTTATAATTTTAACATGATTTTAGACTATAATTTTGTCATTTTTGGGTTTATATTCATTGACTTATAGTCTCTCAAAGTCGGGATATCAAAGCTGGAAATTTTATGTTTTTCAGCTTTTTTTTTGTATTCTGTGATAGTTTTAAAACATGTATATCTCATTCGTTTAAAGTCGGATTGGCATGATGTTTTTTCCATAGTATAGTTTATAGTTTGTACATGATTTTAGACTATAATTTTGTCATTTTTGGATTTATATTCATTGACTTATAGTCTCTCAAAGTCGGGATATCAAAGCTGAAAATTTTATGTTTTCAGCTTTTTTTTGTATTCTTTGATAGTTTTAAAATATGCATATCTCATTCGTTTAAAGTCGGATTGGCATGAGGTTTTTTCCATAGTATAGTTTATAGTTTGTACATGATTTTAGACTATAATTTTGTCATTTTTGGGTTTATATTCATTGAATATAGTCTCTCAAAGTCGAGATATCAAAGCTGGAAATTTTATGTTTTTTAGTTTTTTTATATTCTGTGATAGTTTTAAAACATGCATATCTCATTCATTTGAAGTCGGATTGACATGAGGTTTTTTCCAGAGTGTAGTTTATAGTCTGTATATGATTTTAGACTATAATTTTGTTATTTTTGGATGTTTATTCATTGACTTATAGTCTCTCAAAGTCGGGATATCAAAGCTGAAAATTTTACGTTTTTCAACTTTCTTTGTATTTTGTGATAGATTTAAAACATGCATATCTAATCCGTTTGAAGTCAGAATAGCATGCGGTTTTTTCCAAAGTGTAGTATAGAGTTTGTACATGATTTTAGACTATAATTTTGTCATTTTTGGTTTCATATTCATTGATTTATAGTCTCCCAAAGTTGGGATATCAAAGCTGCGAATTTTCTTTTTTTTTCTCAGCTTTATTTTTGTATTTTGTGAAATTTTAAAACATGCATTCGACCCACTTTACCCGATTCCCCGGGTTTTTCGGTTTTAGACCCACTTTACCCGGTTCCATTCGACCCACTTTGATATTTCCGGGTTTTCCGGTTCTAGACCCACTTTACCCGGAACCGAACCGGAACCGGTTCCTATATACCGGTTCGGTTTCCGGTCCTAAAAAATCTCGTTAACCGGTTCCCGGGTTTTCCGGGTCCGGGTCTACCGGTCCGGGTTTGGACCCACTCTCATCCCTACCTAAGACTCTGCAAGGGGGCGTGCCCCCCTTGACCCCATCTTTTTGTCGTACTGGTTTATAATCTGATCTTATATATGCCATGTGACATTAAAATCACCAACACACCATACAACTTAGCTTGTCTACAATGAACTAATGTACATATACATTTTATTTTAAATTATTTTAAATTTAAGGATGACACTCGAGACATCTGAAAAATATAAAGCCAGTGACTATATATCGACGATATAATGAGTTAGTGATGTCCTTTTGCATTTATCGTATTTTTTTATATAATTATAACTTTTATTTATCATACTTGTTTAGACCTATGCTTGTTTCATATTTGTCGTGAATTTAAGTTGTCAAAATTTATGTTTTTGAGTTTCCAAAATGCCAAAACAGCCATTTCGATCCAAGAGCAAACAACCAAAAATCAAACAACAATTTCGATCCCAGAGAGCAAACAACAAAAAATATCATAAATTTTAGTTACCAAAATGCCAAAACAGCCATTTCGATCCCAAGAGCAAACAACCAAAAATCAAACAATGGAATGAGTGATTTCGAGGGTTAGGGCAGGTGTGGATAATTAGGGGATTTCGAGGGTAAGGGCGTTGGCGGGGGGAAATAATAGATATTAGGAGTGAGGACGGGGGAGGCTACCCCGCTCTGTCTGGCCCGCTGACATTATGTACGGGCAAAGAAAAACTATGTAAACTACTCTCATTAAAAAGACTTATATAGGACTGGTCTAAAGCTATATTTGTCATGCCAAAACCAACTTATAAGCTAGTTTATTTTTGAGTTTTTTGGTAAGCCAAAGAGTAACTTATAAGATAGCTTTTTAAAAAACTATTGGGAGTAACTTTGCAACTAGTTTATATAGTTTTTTTTTAATTCTCCCAAAAATACCATTTATTAATTATAATAATACATTTTCTACATGCCCTTATATGTCATTTTATATTTCTTTGCTAACTTACCTACTAGTTTTACGAAACGTTATTTGTTATTGGCTACCTTATAAGTTATCACAGAGCTTTTTAGCTATCAACTACCAACTAGTCTACCAAACATACCCTTAGACCGATGAGTACTAAGGCGGGATTAGGTCAGACCGATTGTTCTGGGTCGGTCTCCCCATTTACGAAATCGACGGTCTTACAACAATTATGTGCCGGTCCCCAACAACTATATATATTTCCCCCCGATGACTTTTTATTCCAAAATCTTACCCTATAAACATATCATACTTCCCAAACATTTTTCCCCGATTGGTAAGAAAGATGGATTTCTAAAGAGATCGAATATGATAAATTCAATATAGAAATAGTCATTAGGTTCTTATTTTTCTGAATAGTCTAGACTGAAAAAACCCGAACCAGACTGTCCAAAAAGAGATTAAAGAAATCGAAACCTGCTCGAAAGACCAAAACTAAACCTCCCAAAAAAATATTGGACCAAAAATTAGAATCCAAAATGAAAATGTCTATGACCTCCCACGACTAGATCGTTTCAACAAACACCAAATAAATAAATAAATAAATAAAAACGACTGACTTTGTTCAACTCTAGTTGTTGGCCTACTCTTCGTATCGGTTTTCCTTTAGTCTGTGCCACATGTTCTTATTGGGCTCGTTTTGGGCCTTTTGTCTCAGCCTTGAGCCCAAATTCAAAAGTCCCTGGTTCAACTCGATGGGCCGTTTAATGATACAATCTCTTGCATGCACCATATTTGTTAAAAGAGAAATTAAATATCCTCCTACCATTTCTTCCTACTTATCTTCCTACCCATTTGAAATGGTGACATGTGTCATATTATGATAAAATTAATTATATTTTAAGACACTTGTCATCATTTAAAGTGGGTAGGAAGATAATTAGGAGGAAAAGTAGGAGGATATTTAATTTCTCTTGTTAAAAATGTAAAATGATTAAACTCGATCTAACTGATTTATGGTTAATAACATTTTAAACACTTGAGCCGGTATCAAAATAGATTTCTCAACACCATTTGGTTTGCTACATATTATGTATGCATAAATCAACAACTTTTTTTATATAACAAATTGAAATTGTCTGCCTAAAGTGATTAAAACCCTATTTCTTTGCAGAGTTTAATTAGGCCATCTTCAATGGGAGTTTAATGGGGGTTTGATGGGGAGTTTAATCTCATTAAACTCAAAATCTTCATTGCGGAGAAATTACTAGGATTCAATAGAATGGGGAGTTCAATCCACATTGAACTCTATACTCGCTTTCTTTCTCTCTCTCTCTCTCTCTCTCCACACACACACACACACACACACACACACATAATATATATATATATATATTATATATATATATATATATATATATATTAAAATTATTTATTATTTCAAATTTTTAATTTTTAATTTTTAAGTAATCTTAATTTTAATTGTAATTTTTAATTTCATGCTAATTAATTTTTAAAATAATAACCGTAAAAAAATGATAAATGATGTGACAATCCATTAAATTGGAGTTTAATGGAGTGTAGAGTTTAATGGGTAAAGTTGTATAGTGAGTGGAATGTATATGTGTCAATCCATTGAACTCATATGAGTTCAATGCATTGGAAGATGACCTTAAACTCATTGATATTGGTTCATTTCCAATTTTTATTTAAAATTTTATATTATTTCCAACGTGCAGTAAAAATCGACACATTAGACTGTGATTGAGACTGATATCAGTGAAACAACAATTCAATTATTTTATCCCATTAAATAATATGAAACAAGATGTAACAACTATCAATATCTCGTCTGTTCAAAAGACATAAATACCCTTTGTATCCCCATAACTGGAAATAGCTAGCACAGTCTAGTTCAGTCTTGTACAGTTCGGTCATTTCCTTTTAACAAGACAAAGAACACAAGCCACACAATCTTCTTTCATATACCACCTTTTCCATAAATAAATAAACCCACTATAGTAATCTTACCATAAATCTTGTTAAAAAAACACTAAATCACTACATTTCCCTACAAAAAGACACATCCAGTAAATAAAATTCAGGTTTAACATCAACCACCTTAAAACAACAAACATCTCCAACTCCCAAACAATTCTCCATAGCAAACAATCTCCATCCATCTGTAAACCTAATTCTGTCACAACAATCAACCACTTTCACATCCCATGTTCTTCCCAAATGTTGAAGCTTAGCCATTGATCTATACTCCTCCTTCACACCCTCATAAAACACCCTTGGTAAATTCTACACAAATCACACCACAAATTAATTCAACATGATGAAACTATATAACTATTTACTTACTTACCATGTACTGATTCCTCAAATAACATGGCTGAATCTTTATGTCAAATGAAAAATTGCTATCTTCAATCTGTTCATTACCAGTTGTTGTGTTTGTTTCGGTTTCTGTTTCTTGTATGGGTGTTGATTGATTTTCACTTTCAGTGTTGTTGTTTTCCTTTAAACAGTTGTTTTTTCCGGATATACTCACGAAGAAATTTGATCCACCATTGTAGTAAAAGATGAGGAAATCACCAAATTCGAGGGAATTATCTTGCACGAATTTCTCCCATCCGGATTTGAAGTAGACATCGTCATCAATCTTGTTCATATCCACCTTCCATGAGTTTCTTGAACAAGTTATAAGGTTAAACTTGAAGGGTAAAGAATCCCCAAAGTACTTGAGAAATGCAGGTGGTATTCGCTGTTGTAATCAAACAAAAGCATACTCCATATCAGACCATAATTCAAGAACAAGAGGCATGAGCATGAATAATTTACCATAGATCGTAAATAATATGAACCGATTTGTTTGTAATCGTGAAATTAGTAGCCGATGATACTCAAACATCCAATCACGAGAAGGATGAGGCACTAACCAGTTGCGTAGAGCAATGCGCAGGCATGTAGAACTTGAAGAACTGAGGACATTGTTCAGAGTTTAAAATTCCGGTATTATTTTCCGCCATTGCTCCTTCGTTTACTATGAATTTCGCATGCAAAACGATACAAAACCTTTAATGGAACAAGGTTTTGACATTAATCTGCAAAATTATGAAAGTAAAATTAATCAACTACAACATAAAGGAAGAAATCAGAGACAATCAATTCTAATGGTATCGGATTTAACCTAAATCTTAAGGAGATTTATGACTTGCCAAATAAGTTTGGCTCAGATCCAAAATCACTCCACATGGCTGGGATGACTGGTGAGCAGATGTTTTGCAGACGGTGGTGACGGCGTTTCTGACTATTGCAGAAGCGTTAGACCGGACGGCGATGGTGTAACCAACCGGAAGGCGGGTTGCTGCGGGGTGTGGGGGTTTGGAGAGAAGGTAAAATAATCCGCTGAAATGATGGTATGAATGTATGATTAATTGGATTTTATAATTTCGGGTTCATAGCCATATTTTTCATTTTAAACACTATACTTTTAAATAAAGCTCATTCAGCCCTTAAATATAATAATATCTTAAGAATTGTTCTTGGAGACTCTTATTCAATCATAGGCCCTTTAAACAAACTAAGAGAATACGGACACATGATGATTCATATTTGTTTGTTTAGTTTAACCGAATGAATAGGAACATATAAAAGAATAATTTTTTATGTTCATTTTCCTAAGTATAACAAAATATTTTATCTGTCTTCGTTTGTTAGATGATAATCCAACGGACATTGAATGACATAAATAAACAACATAAACATTTAAACTAAGAATCGTAAAAGTTGATTGACAATACTTTTATATGTTGATCATATTAGTATTGTATTTTTTTTTTAGGAAATCAAAAAGTTGTAAAACTTAAGGTTGCATTTAGTTACGGAAAAACAGTTTTCATTTTTTATTTTTCGTTTTCCCTTTTCAGTTTTCATTTTCCGTTTTCATTTTTCATTGAAAAATTTAGAAAACGCGTTTAGTTAAAATTTATTCATTTTTCATTTTCAGTTTTAGAAAATTAAAAAACGTGTTTACATGTGTATTTTTCTATTGGTTTTCATTTTTAGAAAACAGTTGCGGTGGTAGGGTGGGGGTGGGGGTGGGGGCGGCGGCGGTAGCGGGTCGGCGGCGGTGGTGGTGGCCGCAATCGTGGCAGTGGTGGTGATGGCGGCAGTGGTGGTGGTGGTGCTGATGGGGTAGTGGTGGTGGTGATGGTGATCGTAGGTCGGTGATTGTGGTAGTGGTGTTGGGTGGGTAGGTGTGTCTGTGTGTGTGTGTGTTTGTGGGTGTGTGTATGTGTGTGTTTGTGGGGGTGGGGGTGGGTGTGGGTGTGTAGGTGGGTGTGGGTGTGTGTGTTTTTGGGGTGGGGTGGGTTGTGTGTGTGTTTGTGTATGTGTGTGTGTGTGTGTGTTTGTGGGGGATTGGGGGGGGGGGAGGGGATGGGGATCGGTGTGTGTGTATGTGTGTGTGTGTGTTTGGGGGTAGGGATGGGTGTTTGTTTATGTGTGTGTATGTGTTTGTGGGGGTGGCTCTAAGTTTGTGTGTGTGTGTGTGTTTGTGGGTAGGTGTGTGTGTGGGGGGGGGGGTGGGGGTTGGGGTAGGTGTGTGTTTGTAGAGGTGGGCTTGGGCGTGGGTAGGTAGGGGTGTGGTGGGTTGGAGGTGTAGGTGGGGGGGTAGGAGAGATGGGGTGGTGTGTTTTATTTTAGAAAAAATTTGGTATTAGAAAAATGCGGAAAACAATAATTATTGGTTTTCCAAAAATTTCCAACTTCTTTGTAATTTTAGAAAACTGAAAATTTTCATTTTCCGTGAAAAATTTAGAAAAATAGACGAACTAAACGCGTTTTCAAAATTCTCATTTTTCTTGAAAATTTTTTCTGCAACTTCCAACATCCCAAGATGAATCAAAGTCTATAAAAGGAGTAGTTCTTTCTTTGTATGGTTGTATTAATCTTTCCATACTTTGCAAAATGATCATTGATGGGTTAAAAAGAGTTTTAAGTATATTTTATTTTTAAAGCTTTTGTTACCGTTATTAACGTTTTTTGGTAAATAGTTTGTAATAAAACACAACATTTGTGTTGGTCAAATTAAAATGAGAACTCAAATTACCGGAGAACCTGATGTGTTATATATATATATATATATATATATATATATATATATATATATATCAAGGTTGTAAAAATCGTTCGGCGGTAGCTCGGCGGTCGACTGGCGATAAGCGATTAACTAGACTCGGCGGGGATTAATCGGGGATCCTAAATTATTAATAAAATTATTTAAAAAAAATTAATATTTCCTAAAAAATTAAGTATTTGGAAATTTTAAATTTTAAAATTTGAAATTTTTATAATTTTAGTATAATATTTTAGAATTTGAAAGCTTAAAAATTTAAAAATTTAAAATTTTGGTGTAATATTTGAAAATTATTTTTTTTTGAATTTTTTAAATATTTCCCGCCGAGGACCGCCAAGGACCGCCAAGCCCGAGTTTGACCGATTTTGACCAATTTCCGCCAAGCATCCTAATCGTAATCGGTTCGAGGCCGCCAAGCGATTAATCGCCGATTAATCGGCCGTCAAGGCCGATTTCTGCAACACTGATATATTATATATTAGATATATATATATATATATATATATATATATATATATATATAATCAGATTTTAAATTTATAAATCTTTATTTAACATAACCAAATAGTAACACTAACAAAAAGTGAACCCGATTGTGTAGCAATATAGTTTTGATAAGTAAGAGTGTAAAATCTTAGGAAATGAGTATGATTTGATTTAGATATAAAAGCAATTAATTATCCTAAAACAGAAAAGTAAAAAAGGGGGTTTTGTTTAATCCAAGTCAACTTGATTTTATAGCCAAACCAAGGCACACAAACACAATGAACTAGAATAAAAACAACTGATTTAAAGTACTTCCACTTAAATTTCGAATTTTCCTATTTTCATATGGTTGATTTATTAAAGTGCAATGGACTGAAGAGTTGATTATCGAATATTATAACGACTAGTTATCTTGATCCGATGAACTAATACAATTATTTTTAAAGAAACTAACACAATGATCATTCAATTAGCTAACCTAATAATTAGTTAAATACTCAAATTATGAATGAATTAATATAACGATTTTCTTATCAATAATCATGACAAGTAATATAACCTAGCATGATTATCTAATACTTGCTTATATATTTTCAAGTTATCTACCCTTAGGATTTGTTCAATCCCTATTCCTAATAGTTTAAGATCATAAACTTTTTTTTTAACGAGTTTAAGATCATAAACTAATTAAGATACAAGTTCATATAGCTAAATTGGCTTCCGAGACCAGGAGCGTTTGATCATGGATGACGAAAATTATGAGTTATCCGTTCATTTGCTTCAAGAATGTCAATGGAATTATGCAAAACATCTATTTTAGCATTGAGACGTTTTTTGTCAGAAATTAAAACATTTTTTCATAATAAGTGATTTCACATTTGTCTTTAAGAATGATACATTCATCTTTTGACATTACAACCTCTCGTTCTAAAGACTCTATTTTTAACTTTTTATCCTCGAAACGTAATCTAAGACGACTTAATTCACTCTCCATCTTCTCACTGACTTCTATGGTTGACTCATAGGCTTTGTAAATGATGTTCATATCTGATTGAATCTGGGTTAGATATGGTTCGCAAAGAGACAAATCAAAGTTATTATCAGTAATCATAAATCTTACCTGTTAAACGATGCTACCGGGTGGATCGTTGGTAGCCATGTAGCAGTAGTTTGGTTCAGCATCTTCATAGTCTCCTTCTGAACCAGATGACCAGTAGCCTTCATCACATTCAATTGTTTGTCTAGCCATAAAACACATGTTTCTTCCAGTACTCACATCATCAACATCTCCAGAAGACCAATACCCTTCTACTTCTCTTGATATAGTTGTAACAAAAGCATTTTCACTCTCTGCCATTTCTTGAGCTCGACGTGCATAGTAAGCAGAGTCCTTAATCTTGGGTTTTTGTGGGACTTCAGCTAAGCAGTCTTTGGCAAAATGATTTACATGACCACATTTGTGACATACAATCTTGGGTTTGTCTGACTTTGGAGTCTTTGAATATTCTGAGGTGTGATTTGGTGTAGGAAGGTTAGATTTGTAAGCTGGTGGGTTTTCTGAAGGTTTTTTTTGAATGATTGAGGGTTATTTTGGTGAGGATCCTGAAAACGGTTGTGATATGGCTTGTTAAAAGGACGATTGTATCTCATGGAAAGCAAAGCAAACTCTTGTTGGAAGCAGAGTTCGGAGTCCATTTCTTCAGGGTCGAGGTCACCATTTAATTGGTAGTGGCTGTTGGTGGGGACATGTAAACCTGGTGGTGATGGTTGAACAAGTGGGATGTATGGAACAACAGCTGTGAAGGGGTCCGAGACAGTGAGGTTCGGAATATGAGGATCGTAAGAACTAACAAGAGATAGAGAACCTTCTGTGAGTTCTCGTAAGGTTTGTGTAACATTTGATTCATGACCTTAAAGATCATCGAACAGTTGGTAGAGCTTCAGCTTTTAAAAGAGATCCATTACTCTGAAGACATGATTTCATATTTCCCCATCCCTTTTCCGAGGCTGTTAATGAACTTGAGGTTGTATTCAAGTGGGGTTCGAGCTATCCCATGAGCTCTCATGTTGTTGACGACGATTCAGTATCTGTTGGAGGTTGAGGCAACCGATTCACCAGGAGTTGTAGTGAAAGTGTCGAACTCGTTGACAACAGAGGTTAGACGCTTATCCTTCATGTTCTCTGATCCCTCGAACAAGTCTTGAAGTGTGTCCCAAATCTCTTTAGCAGATTTGCACAGTTTAATGTGCTCAAAGAGAGAAAGTGGAACACCAAACACCATTTATGAAAAGGAAACTTGATCTGCTGCAACTTTTCGATGTCATCAGCAGTGAGAGGTGCTTGACGTTGTTCATCCTGTCCCATGAGAGTTGTAGCAACATATCTGTCATAACTAGCATTTT